TCACAGAAGGTTAAGGGCACGATCCTGCACAGGTTTAGACAGTATAAAAGTGATGTCGTGCTGGTGGGGGGGCTCTAGTCTAACACCTGTGGAAGCCCCGAGGATGGGGGCGGGGTGATTTTTGGTATGTTGTTGAGTTGGAAAATGGCTGCCTGCTTTTTAAAAAGACAGCATAAAAGGGAGAACAAGTTGCTCCTGATGAATCTTCATGGAATGCAGGGATCCATGAATGCCTAGAAAAGATTTGGCCCATAAATGGGTGGCCTTTTGCCTCCCCAGTTTCCAGTCTCTGAGGATGAAAAGCTTTGCGGGGCGTAGCCACAGACTCCCCCCCACCCAGGTAAAAATGAGTTGCAGAGCAGAAATACAGAAAGAAACAGACTTGGCGGTGCGGGCGGAAAGAGGGAGAAAAGGGCAAGCCTTTTGCGCTCAGAGGTCACTAGGGGGCGCTCGCGGGCCCGTTCGCTGCCCCAGTCGCGATGGCGGGGCGGTTTCGCAGTGAGGCACCGGCCAGGGCTCGGGATGCGCCGGGAGCTTTGTGGCTCTTCCTCCACGCAGGGGCTGCACCTGGGCACACCTGGTCGAGCACCTGTCCGTTGGCCTCACCCCAGCAGGGTCTCCCCCCTCGCCCCGCTCTTCCTCTTTCCCATTGCAACCTGCTTGCCCCCCCCAGCCTCTGGCTCTGGCTCAGACGAGTGCCGTGGGGACAAGCCGGAGCAGATGTCCCATGCTCCTTGACCCTGCGGGCCTCCACCTGGCAAGCGAGCAGGGGGCAGTCGGGATGAGAAGGCGCACAAGGTGCAAGAACCGCTGGGGACGGTCTGGTGGGAGGACCGGCCCACCGGCGGAGGGCCCCAAGCGCCCTGGGGAATCCGCACCCGGCGTGGCCTTAGCCCCTCCGCGGTCATAGCCAGGTTTGGAGCAGACGAGCCGACCCCAGCGGGACTGCTTGCTTTGGAGCAGGTGGCCCCGTGGCCAGCAAAGCCTTGGGGTCCCCCTGGGCTTTGTGGATGCCCCCGAGTCCAGGAGATCCACCGGGGCGCCCTGGCATTCCGGCCCTCGGGAGGATTGTTCGCTGTTTCCTTGTCACAGCCAATCCTCCCCCTCCCTCTTCGGGCAACGATTTTGCAGATGTGCAGAATTACAGGGAAGTGCGCGTCGGCCCCACAAGCGCAATGCTGCGGTGCAAGCGCTTCCTGCGTCAGGTTTCCAGGCACCGTCAGCATTTCGGGGGCCAGAGCTTGCTCCGTTCCCAGACCCTTAGTTCTGCGTTTCTCCGTTCCCCCTTTTTCCCCTGAAGGGTTTCTTCCCTGCTGCAAAACTTAGGGTTTCCCCGGAGCTGATATAGCCTCTCTCCTGTGTGTATGTGGGAATGTTTTGGATATGTAAGGATGAATACTGGAGATAGAAGAATAAGTGAATGCTTAGAGCTGATTTGGGGGGAGAAAGTGACAACCTATTTTACAGATAAATTCTCACTTTTCAGTCCCAACAAGTCCCCAAAGTAATTTACAAAACCCCATTCGACTATACTATATATAGAATTAGAACATTTCATTGCTTTTTGTTTTGACTTTGATTTCGATTTTTTGCTGGTATTATGTTCTTGTTGTTTATGGTTGTTATTTGTAGTTGTTATCAGTTGTTATAGTTTTGTAAGCCGTCCTGGGACTTTTCTTGGTATAGGATGGGATATAAATATTTTAAATTAAATAAAACAAATTCCAAATGACGATTAGCAAGGCCTAGAATCAAACGATGCAGCTTTAAAACTTTTTTTAAGGTATTGAAAGATACTAAAAAAACAGCAGAATAAGGTGTGATCCTGTGCGTGTTTGCACAGCTACCAGTGTGTGGGACTTTTTTCTGTTTAAATGCGTATAAGGCTGCACCCTAAGAATGTTTCCATTGATTATCTAATCACAATCTTGGCATGCAGCGTATTAACTAGATCAACTTTAGCCTGTTTTCTGTTTAAAAGGAGAGTCACATGAGGTGATCGACAAGGAACACCAAGCAGTATTTTAAGAAATGAAGCCTGGATGTAGTTCCATCACACTCTTTCATTCTGGAGCATTTTCTGCAAGTGTATTCATTATACAGATTCTTTGTTTGATATAGATTGTCCATGATAACCCATTTAAATCAGTCACGTTCCCCAATGTGATAAATTACTCAGTTTCCTTCCTTACACCCTATTTTTGCCTATTTTGGACATGTCAGCAAATGTTTGTTCTAGGAGAGATTTATAACCAGCCCTTCAACAGTTTCCCAAGGTGGTGTACAAAAGAAAAAAAAAGTCAAAAAGGCAATAGAAAAAAATTAAAACAGCAAGATTGCAAAAATGCAATGCAAAAGCAGAACAGCAGATGTAAAACAACTACAACACGGCATTGATGCAATTAGCGAAGGATTAAAAATGAAGAAGAGATGGGGAGAACATTTTGCAATCGGAGGACCAGTATTACGGAGAAGGTCTAATAGCCGTATTGGAGCAGGGTTGGAGGGGGGCACCCGCAGGAAGACAGTGTTTTCTGGAGATTTTTGAAGCATTTTTGCAGTATATTTATACCTCACACAATTATGCAACTTTGCGAGGGGCTATCCAAATTTTATACTGAAACAATTAAGGCAAAATTGGGAATCCTCAGAAAAGGCAGATCACCTGCCTTTTAAAACCAGCAGTTACAACAGCACAACACAGACTCAAACACTGAAGAGCTGTGAGCACATTCAAAGATCTGGGCAGATAAAGGCATTTCTCTGCACCTGGGCCTCACTCTCTCTCTCGTTACTTTCAGTGTATTGTCAGGGTGGGGACACAGTTTCCAACATCTGTGCAATACCTGACTGTGGTGGGTGGTCAAAACCGTGTGTGTGTTTAGTAGAGGAATACTGAATCTCGAGGCTGTGGTCCAAATCCAGCCCTCCAGGTACCAGTCTTGTCCTCTCGGTTTCCTGAGGTTGCTCCACCTCATTTTTCCGGGACCCACCTCTTTCCTGCAGCAGCTGCTTTTTAGGGCCAATTCCTGGACTTCCCGCAGGTCCTACCCCTCCGTTCTGCAAGGCTGACCGTATCTCCTAAGAGCTTTAGACTGAAAAGTGCGGCTGTTTTGCTGTTTGCCTCACTGCCACTGGAGTGTGGCTTCCCATCGGCTTCCCCGAAGCTGAATTTGGCTGCCAGGCGGAGAGAAACCCAGCAGGTCTTGCTTGGAGGGTGCAGTAGCAGCAGGGGCTCCTCCACATACAAAACAACGTGGCTTTTTTGCTCGAATGGCCTCTCAGAATAATGCTCTGCTTCAAAATGCCTAATAATGTATTCTTCAGATGCAGCAGAAGATAAGCACTGCTGAAGAACGTATTTCAGGAGAGCAGGGTTGGCGCCAAGGGGAGGCAGGGCCGGGCCCTTGAGGGGTTCCCATCCCGCCGCGCCCCCCACAAGGAGCTCCGGAGCGGCTTCTCTTCCTTCCCGTGGCCCTGCTTGGCCACCTCCCAGGTGGGGGAGAAGGCCGAATTCTGCCGGGGGGGCATGTGGGGGTTACCTGGCCCGGGGGCCCTTAAAACCTGGCACTGGCCCTTTCAGAGCATGGCTCTGCGTGCGCTTGTGCTGGTTCCTCTGTCCTGACGGCATCCTCGGAACCGGTTTTTTGAAAGGGGGGTGGAAAGAAGACCCAGCAAGCCCCCCTTTCAGTTTCACGTGGAAACTCCTCCATAACCAAGACGTCCCTCCCATTTTCTGCCTGTAAATGTGGTGCTGATTTGGGGAAGTGCATTTAGACCCAGTCTAGTTTATTTCCCCCCCCCAGCACATGGGACCGGGGGGTGTTCCAAAACTGGGGTGCTGTGAAACCGCAAGGAAGGAAGAGGAAGGGAAAGATCTCTTCTTGTACGTCCCTGAGTGTCGGACACGACACGGGACAACGAACTGAAGCTACAGCACACCGGATTCAGGCCGGACACCGGGGGAAACGTCCTCACTGCCAGAGCCGTATGGCAGTGGAAGCAGCTGCCCGGGGGGGGCCGTGGGCTCAGGAGCTATTCCAGGCGAGAGCGGGCAGTCACCTGCGCGGCACGGCGTGACGGGGGGTCCCGCAACAGCAGGAGCTTGGACCTGGTGGCCCTCCTGGCCCCTGCCGACCCTACTGTTCTGTGGATCTGTGACACAGAAGGGTCGCTGCCGGTGGGAGCTGCTGTAAGCAGAAATGCCCCAGAGATGAGCCTTTGGGGTGGCATCAGGGTGGGCACGTTCCTATGCGAATACAACTGAAGGAGGGTATAAATTCCTCATATGCTCGGAGTTCATGGGATTAGCAAGTGGCCCTTGACACAGACGGCACGTCTTGGCAGATTCACACAACCCGCAAGACCTTGCTAGCAGACGAACCAGCAAATAATCTTCCAGCCAGCTGTATCTTCCAGGGGGAAATACGGGGCCGCAAAGCAGGGGCAGGGAAGGCTGGATGCGAGGGCTTCTGGCAATGCCTGAAAGAGGTACTGGGGCTCAGACATGCCCAGAAGGCCAACCCGTTGGTTTTGGTAGCCCTGCGAAGTTATGGATATATGAAAGGCGGCAGGGAACACACGCAGCTGTGATGCGGGAAATCCACTCTGCACATGACCCAGATACTCTCGAATGCTGTTCTTCGCTTGCACTTCCCAGGCCCGTGGCTCGACTCCGAGGAGATATGCAGCTGGGACGGTGCCTCACCCTGCTTTCATTTTCCTTTTGGAAGGGCACCCCCTGGCCTCACTCGGAGAGTTTTCCTCTGGTACGGTTTCACTCTTTAATTTGGGAAGAAGGCAGGAGGGAGGCGAGGCGGGGGGGCCTTCCCCCCCCCCGGGGGCGTGGATTCCTCTCCCCAGCTGTTGTCGGTCCACGTGGTTTGGACCACCTTAGGGAAAAGTGCAATGATATGCAGAAAAGGGAGGAGGTGAGGGGTGGAATCAGTGCTGCCCTTATAAACCTCCATGTGGAGACCCAGCCGCGTGCCACTGGGCTGGATCGCCCCGAACCGGCTGCACCATGTCCTCCGTGCTTTGGCTACTCCTGGTCCTTCCCGAGCTGGCAGCACCTTTCCGGTGGAACGCATCTCCGGTAAGGTACCTTGGGGGCAAGCAGAAGCACAGGGAAAGTGGCATGCGCCTGCGCATGTTCGAGTAGCGAGGGGCAGGGGAGGGAAGCTCACCATATCTTTGCGCCGAATCTCGGCTCTGCAGGAGCCGATGAATCTTTCACCACTCCAGAGCAAGATTCTATTTTGCAAATGCTGATAGGAAAAGCGAGGCAGAAGCGAGACCTGACACAGGCGGCTTTTGGAGTACAGAGGTGGCATTGATTTTGTGTGTGTGTGTTTTGGTGGGGGGGGGGCAGTTCTCCGCAACATGTGCACAGAAACACTTGTGCTGAATGGGAGGCGCATCCCCCGTTTCGCTTCTCTCTCCTCACTTTTGCCCTGTCGCAGATACAGCATGAATTCATAAATATTTGGATGGCACAACTCTCGAAAAGTCAGAGGTGTTTGTGTGCGCGTGTATTTAAATATTTGGACTTCGAAAACTGGGATTTTGTTAAGGAGATCAATGCTTGGCATGAAACGTAGTTTTGTTTGGCAGCTTGGAATCCCATTAGGTTTGGAGCCCTAAGGCAACGGGTTTTGCTCTCTGCATTCTCTTCCCATAGAAGTTATAAAGAGTCAAAAAAGTTGCATTAGGCTCTGTCTTTCGGTGTGGGGAAAGTGCCATGCTGATACGAAGCAAGAAGGCTGGGGGAACAAGGAGAGCAGCGCAAGTGTTCCTTGATTATATTTGTATTTACATATTGCAGCGTTCCCAGTGGAGCGCCTTCTGCCTGGTCGGCGGTACATAACTTCTCTTCTGCAGACATCTTGTGCCTGTTTGAAGTCAGCCGTTTATACATTCCGGTTTGGAATAAATGAGTCTAATTAAGTGGGCAGAATCACTTTAAGTATGGAAACCCCTCTGGTTTGGTGGGGTTGGGTTCTGATGGGAAGAACTCAACTGCGCACTTCTCAGCGGGAGAGAGGAGGTTTTGGCAGGCGTGCCTCTTGGCTTTCCGAGACCACAGACACCCGAAGAATGAATGTCCCTTTTGAGAAGTTACGGTGACCCTATGAAAAGGAGGCCGTGGCTTGCGCTGGGGGTGCGGTCGTGTCAGCCCATCAGACAGCTCTGGGGCTGCTTTCTCCAGTGACCCAGGTGGATTTGGCACCTTCTTTCGCTCAGGGGGTCTCTTCTGCCCAGATTTGCCAGGCAAATGTTTCCCTTGCCACTGTTCTTTCACAGCGGGAAGTACTTGGGTCAGGGTCCAACTTGTACTTAATCTCAGTAGGCCTAGATCCTGGGAGGGGGTCCGTCTTTCCTTAAATAAAGGGCTCTGGTGTTAGGTTTATGGATCACTATTTATTTATTTATTAGATTTCTATTCTGCCTTTTTTTCTTGTCTCTTTTTCTTGTTTTCTTTGTGCTTGCATCATTCTCCTCCTGCTGCTTTCACGCTTACTCCCACAACAGCCCTGTGAGGTAGGTTGGGCTGAGAGTCAGTGATAGGCTCAGAGTCACCCTCCTGGGTCCTAGTCCGACCCTCTTAACCACAGCACCACACTGGCTCTCAAGATTTGAGGTCGGATTCATTCCTTGAAGTTGACTTAGTGGAAAATCTCAGGGCAGACCAGCCCTTTCCAACCTGGAGTCCTCCAGATGGCTGGGGATTATCGGTGTTGTAGTCCAGCACATGGGGAGGGGTGCTGGATTGGGGGAGTCTGAGATAGACCAAATGGAGCTCTCCTTCACCCAGTGGATAATTAATATATAGAATCCCATGCCAGAAAAGGTAGCAAGAGCTGAGCTTAGACCAACATGCGGAGTTAACTTTGGTGATGGGGATTTGCTGAGAGGGGGCATATTTCGGCAGCTGATTTATCCAGACCTGTGTTGAAAACAAAGCCAACAAACATGGCTTGCATATTTACAAAGGTGGGAAACCAGGCACACTGTGGCGCTTGGTGTAGCCGTGGGCCAAGGCCAAAGGATTCCTGTAAATACACTGCTAGCTCTTCCACCTTTTTGGGGGACGTCCTTTAATTCCAGCGATGCCCAGCCGAGCTCTTGCAGCGTCCTGTGCTGGTCCTGCCCTGTGCCTCGAATTCTCTCTCTCCACTTACCTGATGACCACTGATCTCCAAACCGTTCCTCAAAACCGGCATGCTGAATTTAGCCGAGAGCCTTCCCCTCTAACTGAAAAGAAACTTAAATTTTATGTATGCATTCTTCTGTTGTTTTAAAGGTTTTTTCCCCTCCTCCTTCTAAGGGTCCAGTTCGGTCGTTCGGCTCGGTGGTCTTATGGGGGCGGGGGCTCTTTGGGTGGCAACCGGCAGCACTTGGCAAACCGGCCCTGCTGGCCCTGCTCATGTCGCTGAGTGCTGTTGAAATGTCGACTGTATGCTCCTGGGGGCAGAGAATGGCTTGCTTTCATCTCTTAGTCACGTGACCCTCATGGTGCCATCCTCACCCTCCTGGAACGCCGTTGCTGCTCAGCCCTTTGCAAAGACAGGGGAAGCTTCAAGGGTGGGCAGCTTGCATGGGGGGGCTCTTGAGAGAAGTGGGGGCTGGGGGGTCACTTGGCCGCCAGCGGCTTCTTTGCTGCTGCTGCCTGCCCGTGCCCAGGCTGCACGGAGGGCTTTGGTACGCTGGGCAGAGGCCCGCGGGCCCCTGCTCCACCCTGCCCTGCCTTATCCTGTAAGAAAAGGCGCAGAACCTCCGACCTGCGGACAGGATCCGGCCCAGGGAGCCTCGGGGCCCCTCACCCATGCGGGGGCTCCAGCTTTCAGGGGGGCCTGGGGCGAGACACCCTCCGCTGACCCTGCCATCGTCACGAGCCCCCGGGGCAGCTCCTCCTCCTCCTCCTCCTCCTCCTCCGGGCTGCCACTTACTCGCCTGACCGGCAGGACCGCGGAGGCCGTGGTGTCTCCCGTGGCTCCCCTGCCCACCAAAGCAAGGGGAAGTGGACAAGCCGCGCCAGGAGTGGGCCCGGCCAGGTGGGGGCCCTCGGCAGGCGCCCAACCGTGCTCCCCCCGGCTGCTGGCCTTGGTTGCCACGTGCAGTGTATTCTTTATTTAAAACATTTCTATGCTGCCCCCATCGCAACAAAGCCTCGGGGCGGCTCACAAAGAATACATAAAAACATACATAAATAATAATAATGTAACAATGAAAAAACCCCACACATTGAACATTGAAATGGCCGACCAGCACTGCCATGGGTTCGATCAGCTGGCATGGGCCGCGCGGTCGCCGTGGAGGAGCCGAGGGGCTGCGCTTTGGGCCCTGCGAGTGCCGTGCGGTGCGGCGCCCGAGCTGGAGGCAGCCAGCCGCGTGGTCAGTGGCACTCGGGCGAATGTTTACTAGCGGCGAGAGTCAAACCACGGGAGGTGGTCTTGGGTCTTGCCCGGTTATATGTCTGGCATCCTCCTTCGTGCCGCTGGAAATTCTCCTTCTGTTGTTGCTCAGAGCTCTGTAGCGTCTGAGGGCCCGTTCAGAGGGAAGGAACGGCTCATTTCTCATATCAAGGTTGCTGCCTGTTGTTGGAGATCCTGTGCTCTCTCTCTCTCATCCAGTCAGCTTTCTATAACCAGTGGAGAATTTTTTGTACTTGGGTTTAGAATCGTGTGCTAGAAAAACCTGCTTCTCCTGCAGCATCCCCAGGTTCTTGTTATATTTGCATATAGGAAGGCAAAAGGCGTGCACCTTTTATGAAAGCCGACGATTCTTGAGCGTATGTGACAATTTTTGCTCTTCAGTCAACACCGCTGGTGAGATTGTGGCGACTTAATTTATACTGTTAATTTATATTATTTTATCAAAGTTATTTATGTTTGTGAGCCACCCCGAGGCTTCGGCGAATGGGGCGGCATAGAAATTTTCTAAATAAAATAAAATAAAATAAAATAAAATAAAATTGTCGAGTCAGACCAGAACTGGCTAGTAGGCATGGGCAAATCTAGTGTTTTTATTTCCTCTTTCCATACTCAAGGTCTGATTAGCTCCGGCAGCAGACAGCAGGTTTGCTTTTCCAGTTGGACTGGTCTGGTGCTGGCAGTATCTGGAGTGCATGCATGTTTCTGGGGAAGGCTGAGTAGGGGCAGAGCCCCAGACGGTCTCTTGGTCGAGCCCCAGACGCATCCAGGGCACCCTGAAAATGGGGCGAGGCGGGGCAGGGGGAATCCCAGACCAAGGCCTAGCGAGGGCCGTCGGTGAAGAGCCAGAGAGGGAGGTGGGAGCTGCTCGGGGTGGTACCAAGGCTTGCACTGGTTGGGCACCTGACATGGCCCCACGTTCCGGCAGGGGCCTCCTGGCAAAAGTTCGCTGGACTTGGTCCTCTGCCTCGCCCTGGCCACCTGCCGTCTCGCTCCAGCCCAGGGGACGGTGAGGCGAGGAGGAGAGACAGGAGACGCCTCCGCTTCCGTGCTCCCGAACGAGCGAGTGGGAGCCCTGATGAGGAGGCGGCCAAGGAGTGAGAGCAGCTCGGGGCAGCGGTGGCGAGCAGGGAGACGCACTGGAGGAAGGAGGGACCTGCGAGGCCCTTGCCCAAGGCCCTAAAACCCCGGGGTCTGCCCTGCCCCTTGCCGGCCATTCTGCGTCCCCCAGCATCCCCTTCCCCAGGCCCAGGGCTCGGGCCAAAGCTCCGTCTCAGCCCCGCGAGAGGCCGTGCGGGCAGCAGCCCATACCCTTATTTAGCTCCCGACGTGTTGCCTGTGGGAGCTAATTTTAATCTGCTCTGGAGGAGCCAAGCCCTTCCGCCTGATGTCATACCTCAGGGGGCTTAAAAAAGGCTGGCTCTGGTCCGTCGGATACCCAGCCGATAGGACCGCGGATCGATCAGGCACGCCTCCCGCTGCCCGTGCAGGCGGCCGGGGTGGGGGGAGAAGGCATTTGCGCCTGCGAGGGAGGGTGTCCTTGGGGGTTGGCCCTCGTCCGAATTGGTCTCGCGAAGGGGGCTTTGGAGGCAGTCCCTGGATGAATGCTGGTGGCGACTCGCTGTACATCAGTTGGTCTCCTAATTAAGGAGTCCGGGGCTTG